TGAGGCAGGAGGATCTCGAGTTCAAAGCCAGCCCCAGCAATTTAGTGAGGCCCTAAGCAATTTAGTGAGACCCTGTCTCAAAAAATAAAAAGGGCTGGGGATGTTGCTCAGTGGTTAAGTGCCTGTGGGTTAAAATCTCAGTACCAGTAAAAAAGGGAGTTCATAACCCACTTGAATCGAATGTATGAAATATGATATGTCGAGTTTTGTGAAGTTTTGAATAACCAATAAAAAAAAATCTCAGTACCAGAAAACAAACAAACAAACAAGGACAGTGGACTGCGCTGGATGCCATTGGTGCTCACCTGTGATTCCAGTGACCAGTGACCAGTGAGAGGCTGAGGCTTGAGGCCAGCTTGAGCAATTTAGTGAAAACCTGTCTCAAAATAAAAAAGGGTCAGGGAGGTAGGTAGCTCTGTGATAGAGTGCTTACCTAACATTTGAAAGGCCCTGTATTTGATCCCAAGTCCTACAGAAAACACAAACAAACAAAAAATTAAAATAAAACAAAAAATGAAAATTAAAAATCAATAGCCAAATGCATGGTGCACTCCTGTGATCCCAATTACATAGGGAGGCTAATGCAGGAGGATTGCAAGTTTGAGGCCAGCCTGGGCAATTTAGTAAGACCCAGTCTCAAGATAAAATCTTAAAAAGGGATGGGGGATGTAGCTCTGGTAAAGTGCCCTGGGTTCAGTCCCTAATACTGGAGGGAAAAACCAATAGACATAGTGTCTGAGTTTACTTCTGAACCCTCATTTCTGTTCTGTTGATCTGTATTTCTGCCTTTATGCTATTACTACAGTTTTGAATGCAGTTATCTTTGTAGTAAGTTTGAAATCAGGAAGTACAGGTCTTCCAGCTTCAAAATTGTTTTGGTATTCTGGGTTCCTTGCATTTCCACATGAAGTTGAGGATTAATCTGTTCATTCAGCAAAGAAAAAAAAAATAGCACGAGAGTGCTCCATTCTCCATTCTCTTTAGTATCTTAACTTTTAAAATACTTTCTACTTTTTCACGTTTGGATCTTAGGTTTATGCTCACTCATCCTTATTGGAGAGTCCTTGTTAGCCTTCTGTGAATGTCACATCTATCTATTGTAACAGGTCCCCACTGATAGTGGGAAGGGATGAGAGGGCAATGACACTGAACGTGTGATGAGATGAAGTGTATCAGTATGCCAGTCCTCTTTAGCATAGCTTTCCTTTATTCTGCCTAATTGTTAATATTCACACAGACAGGGCTCTGTTCTGTCTGTCCAAGCGTTTACACTCATTGTTCCTTCCCACACAGGACTCTTGTTGTCTGTTGCCACAATTCCCATCTGGGAGCAAATACCTCTATTCCACAACTCTTGACTTAAACAGGTGGAATGGGTGGAAGAGGTTAATCTGCTGTGTAACTTCTGTGTCACCCTCAACTAATTGTACTGTAAATTTTGTAAATTGTTTCAATTTTTCCTGCTGTCTTCCATCTCTGGGCTTATTTTACCCTGTGAACTTCTACCATTTGTCCTAGCCCTTTATTCTGGGAGTGTAGTATTCTAGTTTCCTCCTTCAGTCTGATTTTATCAGCTTTTCATCTTGTAGTGATTCCTCATAGTATTAGTCTTGCTTTCTTTTCTTTTCTTTTTTTTTTAACGTGTGTAAAAGCTTTTTTTTTTTTTTTTGCTTTCTTTTGATTATGGATTTTTTTTAATGGCTTTGTGTTATTTATGAGATGGGGGAAGCTGAGTTTGCTTGCAGTGTGTTTAGCTATCACCTTGATCCACTCAGTGACTCTGTATGTTGTCTTTATGGTGAAGTAAACGTACCAAAAGAAGAAAAAAAAATTTAAAAACTTCCAAAAAATATTGATGAAATAATTGAAGAAATTATGTTTTTTATTTTGATGAAGGTTGCAAGCAATCACAAATACAGTTTGGCAGTTTGAATGCATAAAATGAAAACTTTCATGAACAAAAGTTAAGACTAGCAGTGTATATGAAATTGAACAGGCATGTGTTTCTTAAAAAAAAAAAAAAGAGTAAATACATGTTTGTTAGTGCTAACCTGCTATTTGCTGGTTTACCTTTTTTCCTGCTTTTTGAGAAAGAAGAAAGGTGGGTTCCGAAGTCAGTGTGTACCTTGCCTGAATAACCTCCATAGAGACAACTTTAGAACTTGCCCATGACGGTCATGTTGGTTGTGAGAGAGAAATATGCCAAAAGTGTTTGAAAGAAGCTCTGAGAAAACATTTAAAAAAGGATCTTTTTTTTTTTTTTCTTTGCAGTGCTGGAGATTGAACTCAGGGTCTTGCACATGCTGGGCAAGAGTTCTACCACTGAGCTACACCCAGCCCAAAAAAGGATCTTTGATTACAGCTTTGGTTCATTAATTTTCAGTGTCATTTCCTCAGTAGTATTCTAAAGTAGTTTTAGATTTCAAATGGCAAATAAAATAATATGTTATAAAGCTTTCAGGTAACACATAAGGCGATGATTATCCCAACCCAATCATAACCACTATTAACACTTTTTTGTATGTTTCTTTCCAGTATTTTTAAAATCATACTTTAAAAAAATTACAGTAGTGTTGTATTGTTTTTCTTCTAGTCCAAAATAATGCCTATTCAGTGAGAGAGCTTAGAAAATAAAGACTAGCACAAAGGGGAAAAAATAGAAATCACTCCTAATAACCACCCAAAGATAACCACAATTAAAATTTGATGTATATTCTTCCAGTACTTTTTTATAAATATACACACTTTTTTCTGTACTAAAATATCACACTCTAATACAATTTTATAACTTGTTCATTTGCAATAGATTGTGAATGCCTTGTCATGTTAATAAACAGACATATATACTATTTTTAAGTGGTTAATAGAATATGAACATATTTAAGTATGTTTATTTAGCATACTTACTTAACCATCTCCCTATCATTGGACATTGAAAATGTTTCTAATTTGTTACCATTATAAGTAAACCATAGTTAATATCTTTGTCCATACATCTTTCTATGCATCTATGATTGTTTCTTTAGGAATAGATTCCTAGAAGTGGAATAGCTGGGTCAAAGGGTATGTACATTTTAACACTTTTGATACATAAAAATGTCAAATTTTAAGCTGATCACTTGTTAATAATCTGTCTTGTATTGCTACCTAATTGTTTTATGTGTGTCTTGTCTCCCTGATTAGAACATAAGCTTCTAGAGGGTAAGGGAAGTTTCTTACAGTGTGGCTTCCAGTGTTGGATTCAGGAGCCATCAACACATATCTTATTGATTGAAAGCAGTGTTTCTCCAGACTTTTGGATGTCATAAACTTATAAACTCAAACATATATTTATTTATTTTAAAGTAGACATAACCTTGCAAGTATTCTATTTTTCTAAGAAAGAGTATTAAAAAACAAAACCAATTACCATTTTATGTCACTATTATCCCATAAAATACAAAATATTGAATAAGAAAAAGTTTCAGATCTGTGAGAAATGGATAGGACTTAAAGCAACATTTTAGCTTTTTGAAAAACTTACTTCCTTGTCCATATTTTTCTCATTTTGTGTTGGGTTGGGGATCTTCATCTTAGCCTAGTGGTAGACTGTAGACCAATATTTGGGAACCACTGATTTAAAGATTTAGAGAATTAAAAGATAAACCCTTTGAAAGATAAATAAGTCTCCCCTTTACCCACAAATCCATTTCTCCACAATATTAAGGGCTTGTATGCAGGTAATGGCATTTCATTACACAGAATTTGTGTATCTCCATGTATAAATTCTTTAGTAAGCAAACTAGACCTCACTGATGGACATTGAAATATACCTCCAATTGCCAAAAACAAAGACTATTCTTTTTCTAGGGAATTTGAGACAGGGTAAGTGTGGTATAGTACAAGAAGGCAGGTTTTAGACTCAGAATGCCTAGGTTTGAGTTGTGATTCTGGCATTCATTTACTTAATTTTTCTTTGGCTTTCTTACTTATAAAATGATGATAATATCTTGTTCAGAGTATTTTGACAGTTTCCGTTACAGCACTTACTTGATTATAATGTTGTTATTTGCTTATACATCTGCCTTCCTCACCAGAGCCTATGCTCTTAAGGATAGGAGTCATATCCATCTTTTGCAACCCTGGATTGTAGCACAGGGATCTAGGCATAGCAGGTGCTTGATAAAATGACTATTGAATCAGTACAGGATTGTTGTGAGAATTATATGAGGAAATATATGTGAAAGTTCTTTTTAGCTTTATTCACGATACAAACATTAATTGTTGTTATTGTCAGTAAGAGCTATCCTTGGGAGCTCTCGAAACTTTGGGAAGAGAGAAAAATCACCCCATTTAATAGTTTCATAAATGCATTGCATTTTTTTCTGTTCTATAAGAAAACAAGTTTTAATTGGGGTTAATAACAAGCTAATGCATTTCCTGAGAAGGCAGATGAACTTCCTCCACTCCCTGGAAATGCCAAGATAGTAAATGTTTGTTCTGTTTGGTTGCTATCATATAATTTTAATTATAAGATCAACTTACTTTGTGCTTAAAAGATGGTGACCATTGATTTATAACTAATAAAATAAGGGTACCGAGCCGTGAAGACAACAGGAGCCTATGTTATGCCCAGTTAGTGTGGGGTAGGGCTCCTTTTTTGACATTCACTGACCTAAGAAAAATATGTTGTTTCTAATCTGTTTGCAAAGCTTCTGGTAAATTTTTGCCACAAGATGGCATTGGTGATTACTGAGTGCACGTACTATTGAACCAATCCCCCAGAAAGGTGCACACAATTGTTTACATTCTTGTGGGGATAAGAGTTTAAAATTTTTATCACTGCTTATATTAATTTAATTTTGACTTCCAAAACAGAATTAAATGCTACTGTACATCACTTTCTTTCTGTATTCAAGTATTGTTTTGTTTCCTGTTTTTCTGTCTTTATAACTACAGTAACTGTATTATTTGCCATGTGTTGTATGTGTCTGACTTATTGCTGATAATTGTGGTAACAGGTAAGAAGAAAATACGATGGGACCCAGTTAGGAGGCGCTTCATTCAGTCCTGTCCCATCATAAGGATCCCTAACAGGTTTTTGAGAGGTGGGTGATAACTAGCAAGAGATCTGTGCTTCATATGGGTTAAAGGGGACTTTGAATGAATTTTCTAAATCCAAAACTGTTTTCTTAAAAAATTGTCTTGAATAGCTAAATTTGAAGTAAGAAAAGTCTAGAACTTAGTTTTAAACCTGTGCTTCATATTGTCCACTGTTAGAACTGTAATTATAAGTTTTGGGAAGTTAGAATCTCTTAATATATATTAGATGGTAGAAATAAATCATCTCATTGATATCAGTGGTGTTCCACTGTAACTATATTAGAACTTTGAGTAAATAATCCATAAAATATGAATGTAGGAACAATTTTATAGATATGATTCCAAGGAAAAAATAAAAGATTAATTTATGTGATAGTATAAAATATCCCTTTTATGTTAGATCCCATCAATAAAAAGATAAGGGGGACATATTTGTATCAAATAGTTAATATCATGAGTATATAAAGAATTCTTATAAATCAATGTTAAAAGCAAATGCCCACAAGCAAAATAGGTAAAGAAATGTGAATAATTAATTCATAAAAAAGAAATGCCAATATATATTGATATATATCAATATATATATTTATTTTCACTGTTGTAAACATGACAACTAAAAATATAAGATGTTTTCATTTGCTAGGGTTGGCATACACTAATTATATGGGAAAACAATGCTCAGATGGAAGAAGTATAAATTTTATGCAGCCTTTCTGGATTCAATTTGGCAAAATGTATCAGAAACCTTAAAAATGTTTATACCCTTTGACTTGCAGTTCTTAGATTTACACATGTCACATTCCTTTTACTTTTTATTTTTTCCACCAAAATGTATCCAATAATTATGAAAAAAAATCTGGGGAGTTGGGGTTGTGGGTCAGGGGTAGAGCATACACCTAACAGATGTGAGGCACTGGGTTCCATCCTCAGTACCACATAAAAATAAAATAAAGGGCTGGGGTTGTGGCTCAGTGGTAGATTGCTTGCCTAGCATATGTGAGGCACTGGGTTTGATTCTCAGCACTGCATATAAATTAATAAAAAATAAAGGTCCATTGACAATTAAAATTTTTTTTAAAAAATAAAATAAAAGTATTGTGTCCACCTACAACTAAAAAGTATATTTAATTTTTCTTTTTTAAAAAAGAAAGAAAATCTCAGAGGATTGAAAATTCTAGTTCACACTGTTTTTCTAGATATAACAAATTGTCAGACAAGCATGTTGTAATTTAGACTTCATTAAATTACTTATAAACCAGTATATCTAATTTTAACTGAAGAGATTAAAACAAAAACCTAAGAAAAAATCCTGCAGCTGCTATAGAAGTTTCTGTATCTAGTGCCTAACCTATTTTTAGCAGCCAAGCTCCGGAGCATGAAAAGAATAAAACCAGGCCTAAATGGATCAAGATATGATTAAATAGTGTAGCATGCCACCTTTTAGAGTAAAATAATGTTATTGATAAAAATTAAGAGGTAATTTTAGCAGCATGTGATAGAAAAACCATTGTATACTTGTGGCCAAGCAGGCATCTAATTCTATAAAATATTTTCTTTATTTATAAATTGGAATGCTAATTTATTGATTCACAGTGAGAAATCTAACTTGGGCTGAATGAAGCATAAATTAAACTTTATTATTTAAATATATTATTTATGTTTAATCTTATTATAATTATGCTTACTAAATATAAGCATAATCAGTTTAATTAGGATATAGAATTCAGTATAATAATATAAAAATATAAACATAAAAAAGGAGTTAGCGAAATCACTGGTTATATTTGGATGGTGGGATTTTATTTTGTATAGTCTCTGTTTTTCCAATTTTTTAATCATGGAAAAAAAGATTGCACAGGTAAGTTTCATATTATTGGTTATTTGTAATCCCTAAATGCAAACAATGGCTGAGAAAGCTGGTCTTAGACAGTTCTGAGAAGAGTGAGTAGTAGTAAACAGCAGTAGCAGTCAAGATCATCAAGGACCTCCTTTAAATCAGTGGCCTTGTCTTAGTGCTCACCTTCTTTGAGCTGTTTGTAGTATTTGATGCTATGAACCAACTGCACTTTCTTAAATTTTTCTCTTCTTTTGGGTTGCATTGCTATAGGGTCCTAGATGTTTTCTTCTACCCTTTGGTTATTCATTCTGTTTCCTTCACTAGCTTCTTTCTTCCTACCCACTGAAGGTGGGTATTGGCTCCGTGTTCTGTCCTTTCCATGATCTCCCTTGGTTGTCTCATCAACTTCCTCAGGTTTAACTATCTTCATTTGTTCATTTGTTCATTCTTTCGTTCTTTCTCAGTTGCTTCCTGTATGTCAGGCACTGTCCTAGCTTGATGACGTATAGACGTAGAGAATCAGGTAAACAGACAATTACAAAGGAATTTGAGCATAATTCTTTGTGATAAGTGTTGCAGTGAGGCATTGTGGCAAAAGGGTACACAGAAGAGGTTCCTGGCTCAGCTTCAGGGGAGGAGGGGGAGAAAGGAGTGGCCCTCAGGATGACTTTTCAGAAGGGATGTGTTTATAGACTAGATGTTAGCAAGGGAAGGTTGGAGTGTTCCTAACCACTGGGACCAACAAGTTGCTTGAGTAAAGGCATTTACTCAATTAGCATAGTAGGAAAGGGGTGGGCAGAAGCTGGAGAGGGCCTGGCTCTAGTGGACACCAGTCAAGGAAAGTTCACGATCATATTTGGTTTTTTAGCCAGAGGAGAGATTTAATTGAAAGACCAGTTACAAAATTATCACAGTTATCAAGGTGAGAAATGACAAAGCCTGATTTAAGGTAGTTATAGTAGGAATGGAGGGTAGGGGATTGATTTGGGGGGGGGGTGAATTAGATAAGATTTAGTGATTAATTGAAGAGGAGGGAAGAATCAAAAAAGACACCATAGTGTCTTCACTAGGTGTTATGTAGGTAGACAAGAGGGTCAGGGTTAGGAAACACATGATAATTCAGGTTCATCTCTGCAAACTAACAGTAGTTCATCATTTAAACATTTAGTCTAAAAGTTTTTTGTTTTTCCCAGAAAAACCTCTTTGGTAGGCCCATTTCCACTTTGATTCTCTAATACTTAGTCTTAAGGATTATTTCCAGGGAAACTTCCCTGGCAAACCTGACCCCTCTTTGTTCTTGTGGTACCGTGTGTACCTACCTGTACTAACATTTATCTCATGGAATTATAGTTATTTCTTATCTGGGCCTCCCATTAGACTGTAAGCTCTGTAAGGGCAGGGACTGTGGGACAGTGCCTCTCATTTCTTTATCTCTAGTTTGTAGCATAGTGCATGTGTGTTTGAGTTGAATTATTTAAAAGGCTGCTGTCAGGGAATAGGATGGGTCTAAAGTTTTAGTATGTTCTCAGCTTCTCTCTGGTGGTTGTGACAGTGAACTAATGAACTGTTAAGAACATGAAAATGCTATTGTTTAATTTTTCATTAGGTTTTTTTCTTTTTAACTTATCTACACTTTGGAAATAGCCACTTTTAAGCCTCTCATTTTGGGAATCCTTTACCTTACCTCTTTTGGTGATTGAAGAGTTTCATTTGGCCTACTTTCTGACACTAGATTTCTTCACTAGATCCCGCATCTTCTCAAAATATATTTCTACCATTAAAAGTGAACAGTTCTGATGTAGTAAAAACGGTGGGTTTCCATCATGAAATAATGAACTGAAAGTACCCATTTACCTCTTCTACTTCTCAGGTATCACTAAAAATGGCAAAACAAATATAAGACAATGAATAAATCATAATTATATTTAACAAAAAAGGGGGGGGGGCTTTAAAGCCAGATTATTTGTGTCTGAATCCAGGCTCTGCTGTTCGCCAATTGTGTGACGTTGGGCAAGTTGCTTATTCTTATTTTTTTATTGCCTCAGTTTTCTTATCTATAAAATTAGGATGATGATAGGTGATGATAATACTTTGTATCTCCTAAAATTATGAAAATCAAGAGAAATAATGTATATAAAACACTTGGAATTTTTTACATTTAGCAAATGTGGAATTGATGTTAGCTGCTATCATTATTTTTATTGTTATAATACCAGGAATTTGGGGGCTAAGGCTGTGGCTCAGTGGTAGAGCACTTGCCTCACACATGTGAAGCACTGGGTTCGATCCTCAGCACCACATAAAAAATAAATGAATGAATAAAGATATTGTGTCCATCTGCAGCTAAAAATAAAAAATAAAAAAAAATAATACCAGGAATTTTAAGGAATTTCTGGGTAATCAAAAGTAATTGGAATTATTTTGATTAGGAAACCAGCACCAAATAAAATGCAATCCAAAATAGATTCTCCTGCTGCATGATGAAGTCAGAGAATCTCTTAGTAGGTCTCTTTCCCCAAACTCTAAATATAAAGTTAACAAGTTTAAGAAGAGGGATCAGGTTTGGGGATGATAAAACAATAGGGTAAATAAGTAAAGAACTGCCTACAAAACAGCTGCTTCTCCTACTTCCTCTCTCCCTCCTTTGCTATGAAAGAGCTCTAGCGATGGCATTGGTTCCTAAGATGAGGCATAAGAACAGCTTTTCAAGCAAAGAAGGGGGTTTACCTTGAGGTGGTTTGGGGGTAGGCATTCTAAGCAGGATCTGGAACTAGAAAAAGTGCACAACACAGATCTTTAAATAATGAACTTCCACCATAGATTGGGTGAGAAGGGTGGGACCCTACAATATAAATACAGTCTACCTTATTTTGGCAGCAAAAAGGAAAACAAACTGCTTTCTTTTTCTATACTTCTAAAGGGAAACCTGTCTGTTCACATACTGCTTACCTGCAGAGACCCACAAAAATTTCATTTGCATGTTTTGAAGACAGATAGACATAGCTGTTGAGAAAAAATGCTTATTTCTTATAAGTACTAAGTAGTATATGGTCCTTTCATTTATTAATATGAATAGGTGATCAAGGCTTACCAGAACTTTGGAGGAAAACAATTTGGAAGAGGGTGACTAAGATGAACAATTAAAACAACCACCTCGTGGTACTGTGA